AATTACTATAAAATATTGCGACTGAATGCGACTGAAAAATTATTAATGGTCCATGAATTATGAAATTAGCTGTAATTAGTAACTTTTTGCATTAATTTAAGTTCAAAGTTTTAAAAATATTTTAATAAAAGTATTTTCTTTTTAAATTTTAATTATTTATAATATTAAAAAAAAACTTTATAAAATATATAAATTTATATTTAAAACATTTATTTATATATTTAAATATTATTTATTTATATTTTAATTATTAAAAATGAAATTTTATTTGAAAATAATAAATTTATAATAAATTTTATAATATTTCTTAAAAAAAATTGCAAGTTTTTATGTAGAATTTTGCATAATAATTGATTGAAAATCATGACTAAATTTGAATAAAAATCATTACCATTTAAGGGATAGTATTTTACTGAGCAAAGAAATAACTTAATGCTGGGACTCGCATTAAATGGCCTTAGGATCCGCGCAGGAATGATAATCTATGAAATTTCACAAAATATCACAAATGTCACAAAATTTTGTGATAAACATAAAATTTTCTATCAATACCGCATAATATCACAAAATTGTTTGCCCTATTATTTGTATGCACAATTATGCACAATAAAATATATAATATGCAGTATAGATAATCTTTTAACATATCTGTAACTATAAATAGTAAATCATAAAAATTATAGACAACTTTGTTCTTTGTTTAAAATGGCGTCTAAATGAAAAGTCAGTTCTATAACAGCTTATACACAAGTTGATGAATACAAAGAAGTATTTCACGTTGATAATGGTTTACTTTTTTGTAATTATTGTGACCTTTCAGTAGAATGGAAATATAAATCAATAATAGATGCACATTGCGCAAGCAAAAAACATCTTTTACAAAAAAAAATTTTGAAACAAATAAAAAAGTTAAAAGCCAACAAACATTACAAACAACTTTACTTGCCTTAGAATCAAAAAAAAGTAGTGATAAAAAATTTAATAGATGCATTTGCTAATGCAAATATTCCATTAGAAAAGTGAATTACTTACTTTCTTTTTTTAAAAAACACCTAAAAGAAGGAGGAGCAATTCTACAAGCATTAACTTTGTGTCAATTATACTTACCTAGAGTTTTTCACAAATATGTTGATACTTTAAAATTAATTTTTAATGCTAAACCTGTTTGTATTATTATGGATGAAAGTAGTGATGATTGTGCATAAAGTGTAATTAATACCCTTTTTATATATCGTTCAGATACTAAATTAGTATCTGTTGATTTTTTGGAACAAGTTAATAATTCAACAATTGCACAAACACTTCTTCCTATATTACTTTTTTATAATATACCTTTGAATTTCCATTTTTATTCTCTCTGATTTTGTTGCATATATGAAAAAGTGTTATCGCGATGTTTTAAAACCAATTATGTCACAATTAATACATATACTATGTCCTGCACATATATTAAATCTAATTGGGTAAGTTTACTTTAAATTAAATTTATTATATTATTTATTAATTATTACAAATATTAAATTTTAATATATGTTTTAAACAGTGAAACTTGACATGATTTTTCACAATTTCACTTTTAAAAAATTTTTTGGCTAAAGTAAAGGATTCATTTGTCAAGTCACCTGCATGAAAAGCTTATTATATAACTCATCTACAAATGAATAGAATTGTATTACTATGTAAAATACTATTACCAAACAAAACGCAATGGAATAGTTGGTTTAAAATGGTTTTTTACACTAAAGAACATATTTAATATTGGCAAGATTTTTACAAATTTGAACATGAATATGATCTGAAAAATGAAGCAATAGGTGCTCTTTATTCAATTTTACAAAATACACAACAATTAGAATCTATTATAATCTACACAAATTTTATTTTAACTTATGCTAAAGCATTTGTTCAAGATCTGGATTTTTTTCAATAACAAAACAAATCAGTTTTTCCATTTGTTGAAACAAGATTAATAAATCTTACAGCTTATCTTGAATCTAATCAAATTGTTACTCATTTTGGTATGGAACTTAAAGATCTCATAATACAACTTCATTTTAATCCATTAGATTTTTATTTTATTTTTCAAGTAGCATTTCAGGTAACATACAAAAAATTTGAATTATACATTTCAAATCATCCAACATGTTCATTATTTCATGCAGCTCATGTTTTTGATCCTAAATACATGCATTTAGGAAATAATATTCAAAGACATAACATTTATCAATATTCAATTATTAATGAACTTAATAATCCTTCTAATGATTTATTACATGAATGGGATATTTATTGTGGATTAGAATTTGATAAAAATACAGATGAAAGTAAATTGGATATTTATTGGAATAATTTAGTAACGCGTTTACCAATTCTTTATCAAATATCATTGAATTATATTTGGTTACCTATATACAGCTGTGCTGTTGAGCGTAGTTTTTCTTTATACAATACTTTATTAGATAATAATTGTCAAAACTTATCAAAAGAATCACTTAAACAACTTAATATGATGTATTTTAATCAAAATAATTAAATAATTTGTAATTTTTTTTTATTAATTGTAATAAAATTATAATATATAATTATCATAAATATTACTAGGTAACGGGAACCGTTAGGAGCATCCGAAGCATTAATCAACATAAAAATATCTTTAATACTGTTTATTTATAAGTTAAAAATACAATTAATTAAAAAAATGTCTGTATTACTAAATAAATCAGTTTCACACAAAAACAATGCACCTATAATTTGTTTTTCATCCAAATTAACAGAGTTTTTAAATTCCTCATAAGAATTTATTATTCAGGGCATATCCGTTTTAGCATTGTTATAAACTTTGCTTTATATTATTTTCGTAAAAATGCGCTTACTATCCGAATGTTTAAACACTCTTAAGTATCGTGGTAAGGCAAAATGTAACAATGATTTCTGTAAAAATGCTTTTATAATATAACATATTTGAAAAAAATATATAGCCTTTTGGGAGAGCATGGAAAAACCTTCACTTAAAAGGTTCTTAGAGTTCCGTTTAAAGGAGGCAATTTGGAAGGCGAAGAAGAAGAGCACCTTAGATACAAATGTGAAATAATTACTATCAGGAATTACTATACTGAAACGTCTTAAATTGGACAGAAGTTGCTAACGTGGAATTAAGATTTTAAGGTAAGATTTATTAGAGGTTGCCAGCCTGAGTTGTCCTGCACCGTCACCAGCTACCTTGCTGGTTGCGTACTGGTACTGGGAAAAGTTGCGTACTTGTTGGTAAGCACATCATAATGTGTGTCAGTGTGTAGCGTAATGCTTGCATTTGTAACCGTTGCCAACTACCTTGCTAGTTACGTACTGGTATTAGAAAAGGTTGCGTACTTGTCATTGATTCAGGCTGGTTATATATTTTATTTTTTTCACGCAAGACGGAACTAATCATCACTTTTTCTGTTGTATAAGAATGATAAAAAGTTGAAAGAAATAAATCATTTTTGGGATCTGTAAGATAAGAGGAAAAATGTTCATACAGAGAAGTTGTTACTCGAGAAGGAAGCCCAGATGAGTCAAGTAGGTTAATTTCAGAATTTGGTGGTTTCTGTTTTGACAATATTTACTAATTTTTCGAATTAATCTGATGAAGAATAAACTGGAAAATCAGATTTATCTTGAACAGATATGTATATTGTGAAACATTATTACCGATCTTTATGTTGCCATACTGAATCTATTTAGATTCGATATATTCTGGATGTGACAAGAGAGAGATCTTTACTACAAAGAACGATCACCAACTGATTTGAAAAATACGTGTTAGATAATACTCTCCAACCCGTTGTGTCACAAATAAACAAGAATGAAAGAAAATAGCCTGCAGAGAAAATCTCTCATATCATAACCACTCCTCCAAATCTCCATCCATCAGTTGAGGAAAAGGAGGCTGATGACCAATTTCTTTTTTCGGTAGGTCCTTGATATAAAAGTTCTTGACAATAATAGCGAAATTTTTTAGCTAGAAGTTCAAACGTGAAGCTTGTTATCAAGCATCTTCAGTTTTTCAACAGGATCAGATTGTAGAAGGAAACGGAGATACTTCATACGAACGTCATCGGCGTTGTTCTACTCCAGAAGATCAGGTAGCCATCATGTTTTTTAATGTATGACTCACTAGAAAACGTTTTCTCACTTTTCAGGTGCTTTTGCAGATCAAAATAGTCAACTTAGATGAGGTCCCGTCTGCAACGATAACAACTTCGTTATATGTTCCATCTTTTCCATCTACTCCTGATTACAATTTTAGCGAAGAATATATAATGGTAGAAAATCGTAGTTATTCTATAGATTATCTCACTGATCCTGGTGTTCCCAAATGGTACCTTTGTTATTCCTCTCTTTCCAGTGGATTGTAAGCGACATTGACATTACTTAGATATGTCATGAATATTGTACAGTTGTGATTAAAAAATGTGAGTTGATGGAAGTTACTTTGAGTGCTACAGAAGAACTGTAAGTATCATATAGTAATATAAGTTATGAAGACATGACTAAGCTTTTCCTCTGGACCTTACTACTTAATTAATTAATTATAAAATAAATAAATATATAAAAAAAAATAAAAAAATAAAATGAATTTAAAAAAATGATGATTCTTGAAACCTTGAATTTCCAGCCAATATTAATATAATAATATAAAAATAAAAATAAAATAAAAAAAATAAATTTCATAACTTGAGTTTCCAGCCGATATTTAGTATAAACTGGGTCTATAAAAATTAAATTTTATTTTTATATTTTTTGACATAGTTATTATAAATCTTAAAGAGAACTAATACCATTACGTTAAATAGATGATTGTATTCATATTTGTCTATATAGTTTATATCACATTTTATATATTCAAATATTATGATATATTTATCATAAATTGTCAAAAAATTTATTTGTTTAGTGCTGAATTATTTGGTATGAGAATATTTGTTAACAAAAGGTATTTTAAAGTTGTATAGATTTATAGATTTGTAATGAAAGTATTTTATTTTATTTTTTTTTTGATTTTTAAGATTGTTAAAACCAAAGTTATATTTATATAAAATTTTAGGATAAGCTTTTTCATATTAAATAATATAAATACAATACCTACTGCCTAGCGTTCATATTGAATGAAAAAAGAAGAGAAAAGAGAACAATGCGAAAGGGAAGAAAATAGTTATTATTAAAAGATAATGCAAAAAGTAAAAAAAATAAAATATATATCAGGAAAATTTTTATAGCAAAGTACTTCGAAAAATTTACGATTTGTTAATATTTCGAAATACTTTGCTATAATCCTCCGTAATAACTACATTTCATTGAAGTACTTCGTATGTATTACTGATCGTAATCCTACGTAGCGTAAACTTTCGAAGTATTATGAGATTTCGTAAACCTATGAAGTACTTTGCAGTACTTCGCAGGTTTATTAATTATAAGTTTTTGAAGTACTTCGTAGGTTTACGAAAGATTACGTTACGTAGTATTACAATCAGTAATACATATGAAGTACTTCAATGAAAATGTAATTATTACAGAGGATTATAGCAAAGTATTTCAAAATATATATAAATCATAAATTTTTCAAAGTACTTCGCTATAAAAAAGAATAATTTGTTTAAACATAACCCTTCATAAAGTTTATACTAAAATATAAATATTGCGAAGCTTTACACCGTAATATTGTATAAAGATACGAAGGTTTACAAATGGTTTACAGGCCTCTGAAGATTTACAAAATGTAGTTTTACGAAAGTTTATACTAAAATGTAACCTTATGTAATATTTACAGTTAAAAATTGCGTAAGGTTGCAAAAGGTTACGATAGCTCTATAAATCTTGCGGAGAATTACACAAGAATCTAATTATTATAGAGGTTATGGTCAAGTCATAAATTTTTCAAAGTATATGTACTTCACATAAATTTTTCTAATGGCCTAATTATTATGGAGATTACAGTATGAGTCGTAAATTTTTCGAAGTATTATAAAAATTTACTGATGCTAATTATTACAGAGGTGTTATAATTTTTATTATGTTCTTTCCACAAATATTCATATTTTTCATTGAATTATTATTAATTTCATACTTCTTTTTGTCGAAAAGTATCGTGATCTATATCAGGAAAGTTTTAATTCCATGTCTAATATCCAGAATATAATGGATTATCATATTAAAGATAATTCAATTTAATCACTTTCATATATCTGTAAACTTTTGAATTTTTTATTTAGTAAAGCGAAGGAACAAAACTTATTGATTATTAATTATTCTTTTTAATTATTTAAGAATAATATTTTTATTCAAAAAAATTTAATTTGCAAAATTTTGTTTAAAAAAAAAATTCTACTATATTTTTTGTTTCCTCCATTATATTTTCTGTTCCTTTATAATTGTATTAATTTTTATTTCATTTCAGATAGTTTTGATAAACTACGCTCGATGGTAAGACGAGATATCTTTAGGTTTAACATCATTTTGACTGATATTTTTATATAAGCCACTTGAGTAAGAGATATTATTCGATGTGGTGGTTTCTAAATTTTGGAAATTATAAAAAAAAAAATATTAAAAATGATAAGTTATAAAATTACGCTATTTAATATAATATTTAATAATATTTAATATGAAAGATCTTAGACGTAAAA